ACGAATTGGACACGACCACCGTGACAACCACTGGTGTTATTACTCCCTCATGGGCTCGATCTCCGGTTGTGAAAAAAGTCTGGCATTCACCAGGAATATGCAACGACAATGGCGGCGGCGACGGCTATGGCAGGAACCACGGTGAAGGTGTTGATGGACAAGAGTACATAGATGTTGTCGGAGGTATGTTACTTTATGGTCAAAATTTTCACCTGACAAAAATTACTTTTGCAGGGTTTTGTTTGGAGTTAATTAAAAAACATAATTACAATTCAATTTTACCAAAAATAAAACGAAGAAAATTGAAAAAAGATAAAAACCAGACATGCATGCAGAGAAACGTAGCTATCTGTAGGGTTTGCATGTACATTTTGTCACAAGATTCTGTGAACAGAGTTTTGTCCTGTCACAGTTCACCTGTTATGAGCAGACCAGAATTGACCTCACCTCTCGATGACAATCGAATTAACTGACAACAATGTAATCACAACGTCAAAAGATTCTTGTTATGTTATGCCTAAGATTTTCCTAGGTAGCTAGCTAGACCACCTCAAATTGTCTCACATAAAATTACAAAGATTATATGTAATAAATTTTGATATGGGTGCATAAAATCTGCTCGATTAGTAGACGTAGAGGGAGATTCGACGCAACAAGTTTAGTTACTCGAAAAGTTACAAATTTTACACCAACTTCTAGTATAGATTCCTATATCGTTTTACGTTTGAAGGGCCCGCTAGAAAAAGAAAGAAAGAAAGATTGTTGATTAATCTTAATGGGGGTAATAAATTGCAACAACAAAGAATTGCTTGGAATTCAACGAAAATCCCCAGGTTGAAATTAAATATTTTTGTATTGGATTCTCTATCTAAATTATAGAGTTTTGTCTCATCTTTCAACTTTCTATTTTGCTTTTGATTCCTTTTAACTGTCAAAAACCTTTGAAATCAATTATCAATTATAATTTACACCTTATGACCTTGAGAAAGCTTGACCCCCTTTGTCCCTCTCTTCTTTTTGATTATTTTTGCTCCTTTTCCCAAGTAATTAGTCCTTCGTGGGGGTTAAAACTCTCTTTATTTCTTGTAACTTTTTGTTCATCTTCCCAAGTGACTTTGTGGGTAAATTTACCCGTGTGCTATACATGATTACATAGCCACGTTTACAATGTCCTGGTTGAGCCCTATTCATTTTTCACCCGGGGGGGGGGGGGGGGGGGGNCCCGGGGGGGGGGGGGGGTTCAAACATAGCCTACAATTCAATTCAGCCCACTCAGGATTCGTTTGATTGAACTTCTACTGTGCTTCTTGTAGAAAAGCTTCTTGAATAAGTTACTTTATGTCAATTTCATCTAAAAACTTTTTTAAATAGATAAAATACTTTCAGAAAATTATTCGAACATATTCAAAAACAGCATTTTAGAAGCTATACATTGCACTAACGAGTCATTATCAATAATCGATTTGTGTGTTTTTTTTCATCTTATGATATTATGGTTTGAGAAGGAATAATGTGGGAGTTGGGGGACAAATTTAGGAAAAATTATCAATCGGGTCCCACTTTTTATTAATGGATTACATCATTACTTGAAAGCACGTGTGTTTTGATTGGAGTACAAATATGATTACTTCATTTGAATTAACGAAATAATAGAGTGTATATATATGATGATAGTCCCACTCCATGTAACTTTATAGTATGGAAAGGAACTGTCATTTTCCCCCCTCTTTGGTCTTCCACAGCCGCAGCAACAGTGACCCGTCAGTCAAAAACATGGAAAATTGTACCTTTGGTCATTAGATTTCATAATTTTCAAAATGGAATAATTTATAATTTTACGATAAGTTTCACAGTTCGAACTATAAATTAGGGACCAATCATGCAATTTTCATAACTTTATACTCAATAACTCATAATTTTCGCACACACGTATCTATATACTTGATAACACATAATTTTGATCAAGACTATTATGTGTTATTCTATTTAGTTCAATGTATCAAATATGTCTCGTGATTTCTTTTTCAGATAAAGATCTTAGCTTCAGAGATTGCGCAAAAATTCAAGTACAAGAGGGAACGGACGAGATGATCACATCAACCAATCAAGAAATGCCACGTGCTTTGGTTATGCTAAGATTAATTTTGATCATGGTTGGAAGAAAGCTTTCCCGAAATCCGAATACCTATTCAAGCGTTTTAGGCCTTGTTTGGTCCCTAATCTCATTTAAGTAAGTCATTACTTTTCAAAAATAAACTTAATTCTATTTCTTTTACAAGAATAAAAAAATTCATTGTTTAAGCAGATGGAAAGTAGGGATGCCTAATTTGATGAAATACTCTTTCAAAATAATTTCGGACGCCGGGCTCGGAATGGCCATGTTCAGTTTAGGTACGTATTTCTACATTTTTGACATATTTAGTATACAATACTAAAGAAACCAAAGATTAAAATCAACGAGTTTTGCAGGGTTATTCATGGCACTTCAGCCGCGAATAATTGCTTGTGGCACTAAAATGGCATTAATAGGAATGGTGATTCGATTTGTGGGTGGACCTTTACTTATGTCGACCGCATCTTTAGCCGTTGGAATGAGAGGAGCGCACCTACGTGCTGCCATAGTTCAGGTACCCAAAATGCTCGGGTTTATGATACGTTTCTCTTCATTAATCTTGTCTAATAAGATACTGTTTACACCAAGGCTCAGGACAGGGTAGGTAGGGGTCGCTAAGGATACGGTTCATCCTTTAATAAGATACAGTTTAACGTAATACGTTGCATGCAGGCAGCTCTTCCCCAAGGGATTGTCCCATTTGTTTTTGCTCGAGAGTATGGATTGCATCCCGACATGCTGAGTACTGGGTAAGTTCATTTATTTTATATTATGCTCAATATTTTTCTCTTTCTTAATCAGAAATTGATTGAAGATATTATATTTTTATCTCATTGTGCAGGGTTATATTTGGCATGTTGGTGTCTTTACCCGTGACCCTTGTCTATTACATATTGTTAGGCATATGAAGAAAAAAGTTGGAACAAAAAAAGAAAAAGCGTAACAAGTTCTCGAGTATTATGACTTTCTTATGTCCAATTATGTTGGATCTAACCCACATTTACGTGTCGTTAGCACAATTAATCAAAGTTCTATAAGCTTTTCGATTATGTGAAGTATGTAAAGTTTCAATATGGAGCGTAGTTTCGAATCGTGATAAAATCGACTAAGAAGTAGTTAGTTATTAATGACAAAAATATCATGCTACTAATCCTAGTACATAGGTTAGTGGAAACCGAAAGAAAAATGAATAATCATGACTTATAATTGAAGGAGGAGACTAAATTTGTGATTGCAATATGAAGAAAAGATGTTTGCAGCAAGCATGTTTTGACAAATTTAAAGAAAGAAAAAGGCAGAATCATTGTATGACACGCTACCTAACTTCTTGTTTTTATGCTTTTTTTTCCCCCAAAACGATGTTAGTGTTGGAAAATCTATCAAGGCAAGATGGTACAATGATGTAATTAATGCTTCTTGGAAGATTTTTTTAACATTGTTAAAACATTAAAATCTATCCGATCAAATGGTCAACAGATCCATATCACTTTCCCGTTTACTTATGCATCATCTGCACATTAAAACACATTGTCAGGGTGCCAAGTTCACCCTCCCAAAAAAAACCAATGATCATTTTCACTCCAACAATGAAGTTAAGGCCGTGTTTGATAGGCCACATTTTTCGGAGAAGTAAGAAAATATTTTTCACTTTCCACTTTTTTTGCTGTTTGATAGGCGAAATTTTTCACGGAAAATATTTTCTGAATTTTCCTCACACGTGTCCAATTTCCGGGTTTTCGATGAAAATGTTTTCCCGCCTTTTTGGTGGGAAAATATTTTTCCGGTTGGCTGAAATTTTTTTTGGACAATGGAAACAAATGTCATAACTAATGGTAAAAAAGAATTCACTTTAATGGACAATTTTCATGTAAAACAAACTCAAACGAACACTAAACTTTGATGAAAAATGATTTCTTAGGAAACAATTTTTTTTCCTTTTTTTTTTCCTTTCTGGCAATGGAAACAAATTTTATAACCAATTGTGAAAAAAAATATCACTTCAATGGACAATTTTCATGTAAAACAAAGCTAAACGAATAGAAAATTTAAAAATTTTCTGGGTGGAAAATTATANGGAAAATTATACCAATCAAACACACTTGAAATCATTTTTCCTGCAAAAAATTCTCTAGGCAAATTTTTTCCCTATAAAATATTTTTCTTTCACTCATTTTCCACCTTTGCAATCAAACGCACCCTAATTGTTTGAATGAGAAGAATTAGTGTAAGAAAAATGGGTTATAGGGAATTTAGCCGAGGTTTTGAGGTAAATGGACCCACAAATATCAAGGGAAGGAAATGGACCATGAAGGGTTATTGGACCAAGCCTAAGACCAAGAAGATGATGTTTGATTTGAACGGTCCAATCCAATTGAATCATCAATGCCCAACCAACTAATGTGAGTCTCCCTATTCCACATACATGCCACATTATTTATATATGTAACAAAACATATCTTCATTTGTTTAAATTTTCAAAGGCGTGAATCTTGAACTTGCATGAGAAAATCTCATAACAATTGCTCAAGGGTACATCTTTCAACTTTATTTAAACAGACAAGAACAGAGTATTTTCTAACATCAATGTACGAGGTAATATTACACGTCATGTAGACAAACAAAAATCTAACATGACTTCAGTTCCCTTGTCAATTACGAAGATTATACAAAGTGGTTATGCAATCGTTGTAAAAGCAACAGATTGCTTCAAGAAACTCATCTCGTTCCACAAGGATGGAACGAGAAGACTAAAAACCAGTATCTTATTGTGTTCTGAAGCCGACATCTTGATGAGGAAGTATTGTGCTTCTCATATGCAGCCACCATACGACTTCATGTCGGGTTCAAAATCGTGGGGGAGACAGATAACAGAAGCAGAGAAGGAGAATCATGGACTAAAAACTAACTCCTTTAACGACGTGACTAGTGAACTGTGTCCATGAGCTTGTGTATCTCTCCACAGAGTAATTCCTATAACAAGGCAATACAATATTCAAAACACGGATCATCAGCCAACAGCGTGGCGTGTGCGCATAATGTGGAAATGAAGAATGTCAATTTAGGAAAACAGGAGGGCTCGAAAGACATTCTCAATGATTCATATATAGTTGAGTGTGCTAATCCTTTCGAATTTAAACATGTTGGATACCTGGAGGACGAGGAGGAAAGATCAGACAGATTACAACATGTTTGGTTGTGCTTGAAAGTCTGTCAAGCTTACTAATAAGTCAGTCAATTTGCCAAAATTAATTTCAAAGTTATTCTTTTTACCAACAAAACTTGATTTTGTAGAAAGTAAATCTTGACTTACTTTCTAGGGAAATTTTTTTTTTTAAGCACAACTAAGCTTTTGACTAAGACCTGTTTGGTACCGATTAAAATTCAAATTTTAATCTAAGTCAAAGTCAATCAATTTTATCATATTTCATGAATCCCACAACTTTTCAACCACACATTTCAACAATTTTAATTAAAATCTCCTAAAAATCTGATTTTAATCTCCACCAAATCATTGTAACTTTTCCTACATCTATCGTACGCGCAGGATTTTAAATATATACAAGAAAAGTGAAATGTAGGACGCACCTATCGAGACAACGAAGCCAAGGGTTGCAGCCAAGAAGAACTCCCTGCTAATGCAGTTAAAGCTGGATTTCAAATCAAATTATAAGTTCACAAAATAATCAACATTTTTTTTAATAATGCTGGTCGACATTAATCAGCAGATTACCAGTACAAGCACATAAGGTTTCCCCATCCATAGAAAACACAGGCCCAACTTGAACCAGTGAACCTGCAAATAAGTTATTATTAACTCACTAATCTTCCTTGAATTTTAATAGGATTGCAAATTTCTCAGCTACTAATGAAACTGAAGTAGGCTAGAGTCGAACTTTAGGCAAAAAAATTATGTACAGAGATTTTAAGTTACAATAATAAAGCTTATGGGACTTGTGAAACATAATTCTATAAATGGGTTGGATTTTGAGGCCAGCCTTCACAACTTCTCAATTTTCGAAACCAAAATGGATTTACTGTATTTCAATTGATGGAAAATCATTGGAAAGTGGGAGGAGAGAAATAACATACCACATTAAATCCCGAATAAATAAGGCACGTGGGATCATAAGTCCATTCCCGATCATGGCAAGCAACATTGAAACAGCTGATAAACCTCTGATGTTATCAGAATTCAGAAAATTCGTCCACTGAAAAGGAAGTATCAGTATTAAATAGAATTCATACTAGCGGAACACGTGAAATAATATTATATATTTAAGGGAGCACAAGAAAGATACCATTTGTGAAACAGGCATCCACATGAAAAGAAGAGTGGCAGTCCATCCAGAAACTAATCCGAGAAAATTGGTGGCTTCATCCGAGAGCTTGCCCATCCGAGCCTGAAAAAGTAAGCAGCTGCAAAATTAAATCAAGATTCTCACTCTTAAGAGTCTAGAATGCATATTCTAAAGATCGACAAACATCCTCCAGCCAGTAGTACGATTTATGCAACTATGTCCTATTCCATAATGTGCATATTTGTTATACTAGACATTCACATGCATACAGCACATAAGAAAGTCAAGCCAGGGTTGCAGATGTTAATCTTTCCCAAGAAATAGGTACAAGTGCAATAGTGTCCAAGTTCCGGTACTCCAAAACTACTACATGAATAAATCCATAAGTAAAGCCCTTCACAAAAAAAGATCATACTTATTGAGGAGAAACTTTTGCACGAACAGAAGACAAAGAAAATGAAGTTTATACGACAGAGAAATTGTACAAAGGACATATTAGATGCTTTTCATAGAAGTTCAAGGAGAAGTAATTTTACAAGGGAAAAATGCATTTTATTTCCTATCTCCAGATGCGGCTGGGACGTGAAGACCTTAAAATATTACTTCAGCTTTGTTTCTTCCTATCTCATCATCACTTCACATTCTTGTTCAAGTTTTTTATTTCTTCTCCTTATACTCAGTCTATCCATGATTGAATGTTAATGAATTGTAAGATGGGGCTGGGATCTATTGCTGTAGGAATCGTGTGTAAATGGTGCTTTGCCCTGTCCTTTCATGTTGTCAAGCAGTATTTTTAATTTGGTCATAACGAAACATGCAGCAAATACCAGATGAATACATGTCAAAATTTCAAGCACGCTTAAGTTTAACTAGTATTCATTAATGCAATGCTTACCATTAGAACATAAGTCACAGCTGTCACGAAGGAAATCATACCAGGAAAGATAGTGTTTGGGACGTATGGGACAAATGTTGACCACATGACCTATAACTCCAACCCATAGGTAACAAAGATCAGAATACGGAAAATTTATGCTGATTGGAATCCAACAAGATTGATGCTTATGTTTCGTCAATTGAAAGAGAGAGTTTACTTGTGGAAGTGCAGAAAAACCGCCAATGGTAATAAAATCTTCCCAAAAGGTCCAGATTTTGGGATTGAGCAAATAAAAGTATTTCATACAATTTAAGATGAGACCCGAAGCAACCACAATAGAAGTGACGAAGAAATGAGGGAGAGGCATAGCTTCAGCAATAGCCAGCTGCAAAATCACCACATACATGGACACAACTCCTAGAGTCTGCACCACTACTGCTTCAGTCTCCCGCTTCTTGATAAAGTATGATAGCAAAGAGAGATTTCCGAGCAATCCCGTCAGCATCCCCTATGCGCAAGAAAAATTATGTAAAATGTATCTTATGATTTTTTACAAAATAAAGAGCATGTTTAGCTATGCTTAAAAGTTACTTTTCTCGAAAAGTAAATTTTCTTTGTAAAAAATAGTAACTTCTAGAATTATGTTTGGCAAAAAGAAGCTTAAAAGCAACTTGTACTTCTTTCTATGCTCAGACAAACATGCTCTTAATCAAAATCTTAAAAAGTACGCAATACCAGCCAAGGGACGGCTAAGAGTGCAGACTTGTTCCCTGATAGAAGATTCCGAGCATTGAGTATTATCTGAGGCAGTTGCAACAATAGAAATGGTAGATTTGCAGCTCCTGCAAACTTTGCCGTCATTGAATCCCATCTCTCAAAGTTATTGCCTCTCTTTAAAGTCCCTATTTCCTTTATATTGATTTTATGTATTAGTCCACAATTGCAAGAGGAAAGGAAGACTCAATTTTCTGTGTGAACAAGTATATTAGACTGCACGCTGACTAGAAGGAGGGTTTTCGAAGGTTACTTTTTGAGGGGGTACTAAAGAAACATGATGAAACAATTACTAGCCATAAATTGAGCTAAAGATATAGTATAAAAAATACCTGACTAGTGGGATGCGTCTCTTCTGAACTAAATGCAGCAACTGGCTTGAGTCGATACTGGCATACTGATTGTCCTAAGAAGAGAGCCCCCTTCAAGTTGGTCTTGACATCGACAGTTTGTTTTAAGTATGGTTGAGGACAGAAAAAGAACTCCAAAGGACGAGGATTAGAGCAGCTAGATGCTCGATAAGTCCACAGAGGTACCTTACCCAAGGACATTACTGAACTCATCATTGACTAAGTCGGGAAATAACAATTCTGTATCCATCCATGTCGCGCGTGAGGTGATATGCAAAATGAGGTCAGCTTACACTAAGGATAGTGAAATATGGTGAAAATAGAAACAATTCAATATATAATGATAGTCATTTCCAATGTATATCAATAGACATTCTCGAAAATTGGCATTTCTTAATAAATGATTTACACGATTTAAATTATTCAAAAGGTTATAAGTGCTACAATTATTTATGAAAACTAAGTGAAACGCTACTTCTCTTTAAATATACGTCACAATGCCCAGAAATTCCCAACAAACTGCACTCAAATTTATACTCAAGTCTCATAACATTAATTGCATCTGACATTCGAGAATACAAAATCACAAAATAAAAACCAATAGAAATTTTGCATATGCACGAACTTTTTCGTCACTCCATCTTTAGTGATGTTTGGCTCAGTCTAAAAAGCTAAACTTGCTCTTCTAAAAAGTAAAATTTTATACTAAAATTCTGGAAAAAGAAAAAAAAGGATAGCTATAAGGAAAAGCCAAAACACATCTAGAAGAAAAAAAGTACTTAAAATTCAAACATGTTTGGCTAAGCCAAAAAGTTAACTTTAAGTGGATTTCATAATTTCAATCCCCCTTCAACCATTGATGCATCAAATTAATTATAAAGACAGCTTCTTCTTTTCTTTTTCTTTTTCTTTTTTTCCTTAATAGCACTTAATTTGCGTTTGCTTGTTCTAAATCAAGCCCGTAATACATTCTCAATCCTTTATCCAGATTCAGCCCATTTTTGGTGATTTTTCTCTTACGTTGCCCTTATCGTTCAAAATTTTCATGGTCCACAAACAGGATAAATTCTTATGGCCATTTCAACAAGAACAAACAAGAAAACCCAGGTAATTTAAATAGCTAAAACAAAGGGAATTAAATTAAAAAGAGGAACAAATTATGAAAATTGAGTGAGGCAAAATCTTACAGTACGACGTACCAGGGAGAAAAACAGCTGCGGAATGAAAGTGCAACGCACAGTGATGTAAGCAAGTACTCGCTTCCTTAATATTCCAGAAGTCTGGGTGTTTATACGTATTTTATTTTATTCTTTCTATACAAGATATTTTAATTTTAATTTCTGCATTTATTAGAGCTGCTTGGGATCAAGAAAAAGTGGCATGCGCTTTACTTTAGAAGGGAACAAAAGGTTTTTTTTTTGGTATAAGTGAGATTTATTTAAATAATTTATAAATTGATATAATTTCAGTAATCAGCATCATGAATATTTATATTTGTTTGTAAGTAGAATTAAAATAAGATCAAAAAGTATATTATGGTGCTCTAAAAATTAGAATATTAGTTTAATTATTAAATTTAAAATTTATATTGAAACTATTTCAGAAGCTAATATAATAGTATCTGCAAATTTATTTTAGTAATGTTGCAATAATTGCAAGATTACAAAATTTAATTTTGATTAATATAAGAGTAATGTTATTCATCCCAATGAAAACACAGTTTAGGTGATTTTAAATGATATGTTAAATAAAATGTGAAATTAAATCACTTATTTAATTTCACATATCATTTAATGTCACATTACGCCACCTAAACTGTATTTTTATCCTCAATGAAAATGAATAGCATTACTCCTCTTAGTATAAACAAAGTCAACTTAATTTTTTAAGTAAGAGAAAAGTCATCTTAATTATTGTGGATCCCAATAAAATTAATAAAATGTAAAAATAAATGAATTTTGTAGTTTACTAAAAGAGAAGCCATTTGGTCTAAGCCGAACACGCTAATCCTAGGAAAAATCCAAGGATTCTGACATGTTCGTATGGCGGGACCGGGACTCGTAAAGTAATTTTAATTTTTTTAATCAGATAAAGTAATAAAATGTAAAACTAAGAGCCTGTGTGGGAGGGATTAAAATCAGATTAAAATTGAAAATATAGCCGTTATTGTTGACTTTTATTAGACGAGTGGGGTCCAATAACGGCCATATTTTCAATTTTAATTGGCTTTTAATCCCTCCCGAACGGGGCCTTATGGTGGATTGAGATCGGAGGTGGGGTATTTGGTGTATGTAACAACTGTTTGGTTATTTGTAACCAACCTTTTAATTGTAACATAAAAAATTCGATAATTTGTAACTGAAAAATAATTTGTGACCGATGAATAAACTATGACCTATAAATTTTTCAATTTGTGACCGTGAAATAATTTGTAATCAATTAATTCGATAATATATGATTAATAAATAAGNTTGAGTGATTCTTCTTAAGTTAAATATTCGAACGAGTATCTGAATTGAGAACCAACGAGTTTGGTTCAGTTATCGGTTCTAGACTAAGAATCGAATCTCTAAAAAAATTTAATTTTTTTTATCTTAAATAAATCAAATTATTTTATTTTTTTCTAAATAAATTTTTTAACTAATCAATTTAGCTCAAACTCAATATATGATTTTCCAATTTCTAATTTCTAGCCTAAGCCCAACCTTATCAAAAACTTAATTTTTACTCTAATTTATTATTCTACAGTAGCGTTGTTTATACTGTTATGGAGAAATTGAATTGGAAGCTTGGTTGCACCTCTCTTTATTATTGGAAGTTCGCTATCTTACTCTTTCTGTGATTTTAATAATTAAATTTATAAATAACTCAACAAGGAGAGATGCAAAAGATATCATGAGATTGGACTACATTATTTTATAATAGTTAATATTGAAAATGTTATTGTTGAATTAATGTAGTGTTACTGTATATATTAAAAAAAAATTAATTATTGTACAGAACTTGGGAACCAAATCGAACTCGAAATAGAATCGAACCATGTCCAACTCTAGCCCTGTGACCTACAATTGGTGAAACAATACAGTAGATCGACACTAGTCAGCTCTACCATGGAGAAAAAGCTTGTGGTTGATTTAAATAACTTGAAGATGACTAGCCAATAAGCACCATCCCAATACTATGTCAGTCATTTCACTTTCAACTCAAGTTGTTGAAGATGAGGTTCCAACTGAAATGAAATTCAAAAATGTATCTGTTATCCCTCAAATCCGAAGTCCTAGGTCAGATCGCCACCTAGACGGCCACGTAAGCAGAGGTCAGCGTGGATAGCCATGCAAGCGCTTAGCTGGAAAGTCAGGAGATGTGACGTACTCGGTCAAAGTCGAAGAAAGGAGTTGGTGTCCAAGGTCTTTGTAATTTCAGAGGTCCCTTAGTGTCAAGCAAGAGTTCTCTCCGAGGCCCCTTTCATGCAGATACTGAGGCTCATCAAAACCCGAAAATACCGAAGCTCTCATGCATGGATTAGAGGTTCCTCTAAGCTGTCTGAAGCCCTATAGCGTCAGGAACCCTCCAATAAAGGCTAACCCCGATCCAAAATTGAAGCCGACGCTACTTCTCATTACGGATTTGGAGATCTTTTAGAAGTGATTGATGTGACGTCTGCAATAGAGCGTGTCAATGTGTCAGCCTACAAATAAAACGGCGGACCTTCTGCCAAACATTAATTGTAAAGAGTTGACGGCGATATGAGGCTTCGACCTAGGAGATGTCGCCACGTGGATCTGATCCAACGGTCACCACGTCGGCCAGATTAGTATGAATAGTCTCTCTTTGTACGGAAAAAGGGGGTGCATTTTTGGAGAACAAAAGGAGGGAAAACGGAAGAAGATTTACATGTTTTGTCCTACATACATCTTAGAAACACAAATGGAAAATATATATTGAGATTCCAACACCAAACAATCCATATTCTCATATCTATCATTCCACATATTCCATTACAAAAGAGAAAGTTAGTTTGGGAATATTGATCGGGCCTTTGTTAATAGTACAAGTGTCGTCAAAATCAAACCGCCGGAGTCCGAACATTTGTATCTCTTGCCGAAAAGTGTCTCCCGCGTCCATTACAGCTGAACTACCATTCCCGTCCCGGTAGAAAGGCGCCGGATCCGTACTTGACGTGGCAAGAGTGGACCCGACATCTGTTGAGCTCATTTTTCGGGGTCAACAGTATCCTCTAGTTCATTTTACTTCTACTTAGAGATTAAGGGCAAAACTGTGCAAAGAAATTCACAGCAAGATTTTCAGGTGTCAAAATGTGCCGGACTTCCCAATACGTAAAAGCCCGGATCCTTGTGTTGTTACAATTGTCTCTCAAAATAACTTTCTTACTTATAAGAGTAATCTCATTTACTCAAAACATGTTTGGAAATAATATTTTACTTAAAAGTAAGTTCAGTTAGTTTCAAGCTTAGCAAATCATGTGGACAACCTTCTTTTTACCTCTTCTTGATTATGCAACACACTCCACAGAGCAAAGACAAGCAGAACCCAAGGAAGGAAAGGCAGCTAAAACCGTGAATACTTATGGCGGTGGAGCCATTAATTTTGCAGGTATTTAATATAAAAATTCTCAGCAATAGGAGATGACATTTGATTCAAGTATATGCTAGGAAGAAGCAAGTATATTACCAGCAGATGTCATTGCTCAGCCAAGGACATCTTCTTTACTTAGTCCTTAACCCAAAAATGATTCTAGGGATTTTTGCCTTGCTAGCTTTCCACCATTAAGACTTGTTTACTTCCTACGCTATTTGATTTGCTGGCATGTCCGATCTGTTTACCCAGCCCTGCTATGAGTGCGGGGATCATTGATTGACTTCAACTGTCTCCAAAAGCAGATTTGTCAAATAGAGTTCGATACGCAGCAGTAAAGGCAGGGTCGGGGGCAAAGGAGAATGGACTTTCAATTTTCAAAGTACGTCTTGGCACTTAACCACAGATTGCTCGTGCGCGGAGCTAACGAGTCAAATCAAAGAGCGTAATGAGTCTACAAGCTTCATGTTAAGGAATAAAAATGACTTTGAATAGGTTGTTGTACAAAGAGAACATTTCATGAAATCAAGGATGTCCGAACCTTGCGATCTTTATGTGGGTCATCGAGGCTCAAGGATCCGTTCCTTTTTGCACTAATGGCTAGA